ATATATATATAATACATACAGGGTGATCCCAAAAAAAACTTACAACTTTTTTTCTAAATATCTCGCACAAAATTTGTACTAGAATGCTGTAATTTGGAACAGATATAATTCATTCAAAAGGAATTTGTTTGACATAGATTTTACAAAGAAGAAATTTATTTTCGAAAACGAAAATGGCTTTTTTAAAAACCACCTATAATTGCAAAATGCACCAATTTAAAAGATCTTGTAAAGGAAGTCATGAAATGATTTGTTTGTTGTTTTTTTCATTTCCTTTTATTTTTAAAATCTTTTCATCCCTGTAACTTTTAAACAATATTTATTTTCTCCTACAGAGTTTTTAAACATATGTTTTAAATTCTGGAATTCCGAGAACCAACGGTCTATATGTCCTTTTTTGGACTCTACACATTTTAACGCGTCGTTCGTAATGTTCAGTGTTTCCCAAACACAAGGATCCACTCAACCAAGAGTACCCAAAGCCACACACACTGCACACCTTACAGTATGGAGCTGTTTCTAGAGGCAATTAGGGGGGGAGGAATGTGAGGTTGCCAAAATAGACAGCATCTTTTGAGCTGATATAACCTGAAATGTGAATATGTCATAGAAGAAAAGTTAACACTTTTCAAGACGATTAAGGAATCATGAACACATAGCTATCCACTGATAGCTTCGTGAACAGGACAATGGAACAGTCGTAGATGAAGATCTGCCTTGACAATGCAGACCGTTGAGAAGTAGGAAAGTCATTGCTGTAGACATCGTCTGCGGACAGACGTCCTATGGGGCTCATCTGCTGAATTCTGTACCCTAGGGACGTTTAAAGGGGGGTGAACGGTGTGTGTTTGACCTTAAGTGGTCGGTCTGTAAGGGAATTTTTAGTTCTAATTCTCTACAGGTCGTAACTGATGGACCATTTCCACCCTTGACATCAAAGAAGGCCTTAAGAGCTCTTTAACATTATTTCAGTACCTTGTGCGAAACATACGAAACGAGCTGGTGGGGAGGAAATGTTCAATACAAAAAGCTTTCCGCTCTTTATTAATCTTAACCATGATCTCAACTGGCAAAGGAAATTTGAGGAAAACTATCTGCAAACTTCTATTGGCCTGTTAGACTACTGTAGTTTGCAATATGGTGCAATCGTTAAGACTTTTGATGGTAGGTCTAATGCGAACTAATGCGTCATGCTACTCGTACAAAAACGGGGACATAGCTGAAAATAGGTTGGGTTTTTTTACGCGCTATGCAGGGCAAAACTATTATGTGGATTTATCTAAAATGTATTTATCTATATATACTATCTATTCAAATAAAACTTCAGCATAGCCCTGTATGCAAGTACAATCCAACCCTGCAGCTAGTACCCACAGCCCTACAAGCTGTTAGTACTCACATACCATTATGCTAGTACCCACAACCGTGGAAACTGTCAATACTCACATCTCAATTTACTAGTACCCAGAGCCCTGACAATCCCACACAGTTATCATCATCATCAAGTGCCATATCTGCTGCAGACATCGGCGATCATGGTTCTTCATTCATTCTTTTGCTCGGATACTCTTAAAAAGGCTACGTTACCCTGACCTTTCCCCGTTACCCATCTGTTTAGGCTCTCTAAGTAGGTTACTCTGGGCCTACTCCTGACTCATTTGCCTTCAATTTTGCCAGTGACAGCTAGATGTTCAAGACTTTAATGTCAATTCAAGAGTCTCAAAAACTGCACACAATTATATACAACTCATATAGAGAATTGACCTAGATTAGATTCCCTGTTTGTCGCGATATTCTGTACATACAACTCAGACAACAGATGATTCGTTAACGGTCAGGTGGTCCAACAAATAACAGTTCAATAGCAAAATGGTACACATTGTCGGTGGTGCAAACTTCACACCGAACACTTACCGCATCCTTCAACTCTTCAATAATCTTGTTGTTTGCAGCGGTGCCAGGTTGTGTTTGTTCCTCAGACAACTTGTAGTTTGGCAACGTAAGCGTTAAGGTAATCGCAGCTGAAAGAAAGAATTGCAGAATATTAATAATAATAAATAAATAAATAAATAAATAAATAAATAAATAAATAAATAAATAGCATTTGTATAGCGCATAAACCCCACTCCACAGCGAACTCTATGTGCTTTACATTATATTATTATTACCCTAGCAGATATAGAACACTCCGACACATTCTCAGCTTCCAGTTAAGCATACAATACAAGCAGCTCATTAACTCTTTAAGGACGAAGCGGACGTATGTGTCCGACCAGCAATCAGAAACAGACCAAAGGCGACGTTGCGGCACGTTTCGACTCATCATACACAACCCCAAATACGTCAATTTGCATATTTCACAGTATGCATACATTTTTGCCTGCCTCATTAAAGTTTCAGGCAAAGAAAACAGAATTGAAAAATCTGCTAGAAAAACGAAGTTGGGCCTCTATCTTTTTAAAAGTGCAAGTATAACGTACTCCGAAACAGTGCGTCTTCAATGAGTTAAGCGCTCAAACACTAACACACTGACAAGATCTTTCGCTGTCTATGACCGGGTACTCATTCCCACCTGGGTGAAGTGAGAAAAATTCGTGTAAAGTGCCTTTCTCAAAGACACAACGTCGGACCCCTGAAGGGACTCGAACCCACGACCGTACGATAGCGAGTCTGAGAGCCTAACCACTACGCCACCGACGACATATTACTTTTGCTAATTTTTGGGGGACAAAGCAGACACGTCATAATACATCCCATCAGCAGCAAACAAAGTTGCACTATTGCTACATATTTTGAACCACCACACAAAAACTAGAAACACGAATTTACATATTTCGTAGCAAGCATGTCGTTGCATGCCTCGTTAAGTTTCAGATAAAGCCAACAGAGTGTAAAAATCTATTCATCGAGTTATAGTGTTATTTTGCTTTTCCTTTTATTTTTATTATTTTTACATTGTTCCCAAACACAGATAGTAAATATGTACTATCTTTGTCCGAAATCAAGCATTGTTGACTGGCCGGTACGCGCGTCCGCAGTGACTCAGGAGGCTGATCTTGACATTATTTTTCCTTTTTTTTTCTTTTTTTTTAGGGGGGGGGGTAGAGGTTTTACGGCGCTCGCAACTGCACACGGTCATATGAACGCCAGAAGATTAGAGGAGTTACAAGAGAGTAACAAACATTTTTAAAAAAGGAGGGGAGATAAGGACGATGGATGGTTGATAGGAAAGAAGGAGCAAACCACACCAGAGCACCCGCCAACCACCCAATTAGTTTTCCTTCCAAACACACCGCGAGTGACCCCAGAGACGAAACACTTGTTTCACAAATAGTGCCCACAGCTAAAGCCCAGTGCCCAATTGCACTGTCGGTTCGGTTCGGTTCGATTCGGTGCCGTTCGGTTTGGTTTGGTGGGCAGGGCTAGTCAGATTGAGGACGAAAAGCGACCATCATGGCAACTCTCCGATCAACCAAATCGTTTGTTTTCAAGGTCGCAAGTCGGGAAATCTGTTCATACTAGAAAACCGATCCGCCAATGAACAGTGGATATAAGTGGGAAGTCATTCTGTAAGGGAGGAGAAAGACACTCTGATGATCCCGTACGTGTTCCAACTCTCTTGGATAGGGCAAATTAATTTGTTTTAAAGAGCAGCACACATAACAGTGGAAAAATAAGAACAAAATTATACAATAATATTTATACTTTTGCATTACATTGTTTCCAAATTTAAAAACAAACATCTTTCTAAGTAAATAAGCTACAAGTGAATCCTGAGTTCTGGTCCACACATTGTTGATTTTGTTGACATGGGTTGTCGGCACATGTAGTGGTGGTGTCTGTCAAAAGTTCAAATTTTAAAAGTAGTAATGCCCTCTCCAAACCATTATTTTTTTAGAAACTAGTTTTAAATACTACATCAAAATCACCATGATAGAGAAAAGCGTTAAACAATAAATTGCTGAAAAGAAGACTTTTGATACACAAAATCAATGCAAAAAATCTTAAAACCTTAAGCCTCCAGCTGAAAGATAAAAAAAATGATATTATATCTATTTGAGTGTTATTCTGAAGCAAAGCAGAAACCTTCCCCTAAAAGATATACAAATAACGAGGAGTGGGGGGGGGTGGGGTGGAGGGGGGAATTATGTCAGCAATAATTTGTCAAACAAACATAAGGGTCTTCTTGATCCCAGGAGCCATTACTTAAAATGCAGGAAAATATTCTCGAAGATAGCATTTTGGGCTTACACAAAGTTAAAACGTTTTATCAAGTGAAGTAACATACTACAGACTTCAACAAAAGTTAAGGACCACCTTGACAGACAGTCCTGATTTTTTTCTAAATCCGAAACAAAGACAACAAGGAATGTTTCAAAATTTTTGCTCTGAAAGTGTTTATGGGTTACCAACGCGTAGTGCAAAGCCCCTTAAAGGACCAAATCCACCACGTGCACTACTGAAAGCCTTGAGGAATTTTAGCCAAAATTGCTGGGGGGGGGGGGTTCGACTTGTGAGCGACAACACGGACATTCCTCAGTTAAAATTTCTGGTGCACGTCATAAAGAGACGTACGGTATATAACTGTGCTCACTTTGGTGACAAAATAAGCAGCCGTTTGTGCAAAATCCAGTATCGCTTCAACATACCTCCAAAACGAAAGCTGAGAGACTTTGTTCGTGCCAGAGCTATGACATTGCTGCTGCATGGACTTGTAGCCCAAGAAGTTGCAAGAAGCTTGCAGTGTCACACTCTGTCATTGTCTGCCTGAGGCAACGCCATCAAGCCACTGGATCAGTTCAAGAACGCCCACGTGCAGGACGACCCAAAAAAAACCCCACTCAGAGTGTTAGTCAGTGGTCTTTAACTTATGATGATGTCTGTAATATATGTAATTCATAACGAAGCGCTATACAGACGACTTTGGTCAAACTGAAACAACTCACCTGGGCAGTTGTTGATGTTGTCAGGCTGAGAACCATCTAGACAGAGACACTGGAAAGAGCCGGCCGTGTTCCTGCATTGACGGTTGTTGGGGCATTGGTTTGAAAACTGGCACTCATTGATATCTACAAAGGATGCAAATGGCACAGAATGGGGTCAAGGTAACAACACATCTAGTCATCTTTACATACATATCCTGTACTTTAAACACCTTCTACAACTCATAAAAAATCTTTTGGAATTCAATCAGCAGCATTGAATGTGATTGCAATGAGGAGTTTAAACAAAAATGCATGTTTACATTTTTTTTAAAATAACAATATTGAGTATTTGGAAAAAGTGAAGAGCGGTTTTTGAAAAATCCAGAAAAAAAACCCAATAAATTGTAGAATACCATCTGATAATCTTCTGTTGTCAAATCGAGACTAAAATAATTTCATTTGGATGCAATGAAGAAAATTTTAAGCATGTGGTTGTGTGTGTGTGTGTGTGTGTGTGTGTGTGTGTGTGTGTGTGTGTGTGTGTGTGTGTGTGTGCGTGTGTCTATGCGTGTGTTTGTGTGTTTGTGTGTGTGTGTGTGTAAGAGGGGCGGGGGAGGGGAGAAATAGAGAGAGAGAGAAAGAGAGAGAAAGAGAGAGAGAGAGAGAAAGAAAGAGAGAGAGAGAGAGAGAGAGAGAGAGAGAGAGAGAGAGAGAAAGACGAAGATCGAGAAAATAAGAAGGAGAGAGAAAAATAAAGAGAAAGAGAGAGTGAGTGGGAGAGAAATCAAACACTTTAGTAAGAGTTGTGCATAAAAGTAATGTATGAGTGAGAAACAATTAGGTGCAGGGCCATAGGAAAGGATCAAAACATCTTATTGTTGTAATTAATGGTAGTTTGACTGGAACTTAAATGCTTGGCACACTCGGCAAAATAATGGTCACAATGGATGGACCACTTTCCATAGATAGCATTGTGGCATCTATAATACATACAATCATGATACCAGATTGCAAGTATATGTCAAATGCAATGTACACGTGACGTCAAATTTACAAAGAATCAAAGTCTATAGTGTCCTGGAGCTAAAGACAACACAAAAGTAAATTTACTACATACCTACGCAACCAGTGTTGGCATCGCCTTGATAGCCTTGTAAGCAGGAGCAAGTGTAGGATCCCAGGTTGTTATTGCAACTTGCATTTGCACCGCAAGGACTTTGCTGGCATTCGTTTATATCTGAAGAGACAAGGCTTTCATTCTATACAAACATGTTGGTAGATTTCGTTTATATTTAAAAAGACTGTGATTTCATTATATACAAACATTTTGTTGGCATTCATTTTTATCTAAAGCAGAGACAAGGGTTTTATTAGATACAAAAACATGCTGGATTTTGTTAATTTAAAAAACCAAGGGTTTCGTTATATACAAATATTTTGCAGACATTTGTTCATATCTGAAGAGACATAGATTCCGCAATGGGTGTGTACATAAAAACGACAACAGATAAATTGTAAAATAGATGAAAATAAAACAACAACAAAATCATAATAAAAAAATTCGAATGCCTTCTGATAATCTTCTGCTGTCAAATTGTGACTAAAGAATTTAATTTGGAATACAATGAAAAAACATTATCTTAAAATGTCTGCTGTGTGTGTGTGTGTGTGTGTGTGTGTGTGTATATGTATGTATGTGTGTGTGTGTGTGTGTGTGTGTGTGTGTGTGTGTGTATGTGTATGTGTGTGTGCCTGTTTGTAAGAGGGAGATAGAGAGAGAAAGAGAGAGACAGAGGGAGGGAATAAAGAAGTAGTGAGAGAAAGAAAGAGAAAGACAGAATGAGTGGGAGAGACTCCAAGCATTTTGGTAAGAGTTGCCTTTCAAATTAATGTATGTGTGTGAAACATTTAGGTGCATGGCCATAGGAAAGGATCAAAACATCTTATTGTTGTAATTAATTGTAGTTTGACTGGAACTTAAATGCTTGGCACACTCGGCAAAATAATGGTCACAATGGATGGACCACTTTCCATAGATAGTATTGTGGGATCTATAATCCATACAATCATGATACCAGATTGCAAGTATATGTCAAATGCAATGTACACGTGACGTCAAATTTACAAAGAATCAAAGTCTATAGTGTCCTGTGGCTAAAGACAACACAAAAGTAAATTTACTACATACCTACGCAACCAGTGTTGGCATCGTCTTGATAGCCTTGTAAGCAGGAGCAAGTGTAGGATCCCAGGCTGTTATTGCACCTTGCATTTTCACCGCAAGGACTTTGCTGGCATTCGTTTATATCTGAAGAGACATGGCTTTCATTACATACAAACATTTTGCTGGCATTCATTTTTATATGAAGGGACAAGGGTTTTACCATATACAAACATGTTGCTGGATTTCGTTAATATTTTTTAAAAAACAGAGATTTCATTATATACAAACATTTTGAGGACATTTGTTCATATCTGAAGATACATAGATTTTTGTCAATCAATTGTACATAAAAGCAACAACAGAAAAATTCTCCAATAAATGGAAAAAAAACGAACACTCATGTATCCAAAA